CCTCCTCAGATGCATGTCCTCACATCACACTTACCACCAAGGAACCATAGTCTTCTACCATAGTCAAGATTGTCATTTTTACAATTTAATTCTTCCAATCTAGGAGCAAGCAAGGAATATATTATTTTATGCCTTCTTTTAACAATGTCTTACAGTTTTGTTATATAAATTGTTTGCCTCCTTTGCCTCCTAGATATTTCTTTGTGGAACAACTGTAAATGGAATTGTTTTCATTTCTTTCTCTTCTAATTCATTGTTTGTATATAGGAATGCAACAGATTTTTATATATTAATTTTATAGCCTGCCACATCACTGCCCTGGTTCATTGTTAATGTTAGTATTTTAATGGGGTGTTTTAGATTTTATTGTCTAATATTTTATTTGCATATTGTGATAGTTTTACTTTTCTCTCCAAATTTGCATCACATTATGTATTTCTGTTGCCTAATTGCTCTAAGTTGAGGAGTAGTGGTAAAAGTGGGAATCATTGTTTTTGTACCTTTCAGTTTTCATCCTTGAGTATGATACTAACTGTGGGTTATTCATATTTACTTATTATATTGAGGAGTGTTCCTTTTATTCCCATTTTTCTTGAGAGTCTTTATCATAAATGGATGTTGAACATTGTCAAGTACTTTCTCTGTATCCATTGACATGGTGATATAATTGTTCTCTCTTTGTTGATATGGTGAATTACATTGGTTGTCTTGCATATTTTGAACCATCCTTGTATCCCTGGCCACTTAGTCATGAATTATGAATGAAAGGGAATTTTAGTCACTGAAATAGGAATACACAACACAGAAGAAGGGAGGGTATTGAGTTGGTAGCTAGAAAAGGCTTGAGGGCTCTAGATGTTCTAACTTCACACACTCAAGTCTGTTGTCACTTTTCTAGAAGCCATAAAGGAGACACCCCCCTTCCTTCTGGCATTTCTCTCTACCTGGAGATTTAACTGGGAAATTATAGTACATTTGAAGATCAGTAGAAACCTGTTTCTTCCTAAGAAACAAAGTTAAATGGAAATTGGAAAATGCTGACAACTTCAATGGGAAAATCAAGTTAAATGTAGTTAAATGGAACAGTACTGCTGAAGGCTTAAGTGATTTTATGAGTCCTCCCCGTTAACGTCAGCATTTTGTTTGAATGTGGCTTAGTGCTCTGGTTACACAACACTTTCTCAGCTGCATCCAAGGCAGTGGCAGGACTGGCTTACTGTGGAAGGTTTGCCTGTCTGAGAAGAGGATACTGATTCTGGGGTCAAGCCTCTTAGGGGAATTGGGGTAGGGGGAAGCAGAGTAGAGCGTGGGGCTCTCGAGGGGACACAGCATTTCAAGTCCTATTGTATCCTACTTGTGCACATCCATTTTAGGCATTGAGATCTCACCATTTTATGAAGTAGATAAACTAACCTTTTTAGGGTAATTTTATTTATCTGTGAACTGGTAATAGCACCAGGATGATGTTCTTTCCATTTACATCACAGTTGTACTGTTGGTACAAACATCATACCCAGTGAAAGTACACAAAGGGTGAGACCATTTGATCTGGTTCTTCGTGGATAACAGGAGTTTGCTGGAGGACTTAAATTTATGAAGAGACTTCCTGATGGAAGAACTGGGATAGGCAGAACTAGGGGCATGTTATGGTTGATTTCTGATTACATTGTCATTTCCTCTACTAAGATAAGCCTGTTTTTCTCCCTTCTACCAAGTAAATCAGATTCTGGTCAGCCTCCTTTTGGCCCCCTGTCCTCCAGTGTGGGAGTTGAAAACTCAGACCATAGTTCCTTTCATGCCATTAGTGCTTCTAGTAGGTGCAAAGGAAAGGGTTAGAAAATACATCTACTCAAAGAATTGTTACCACAGAAAAAGCTTTGCTTCAGGGAGATTAAATATCTTGCCAAGTTCACACAGCTACAGGGCAGGGATTCAGATCCACATTTTATATTTCTAAATCCAGTGTTCTTTTCACTTAAAGTTGTAATTGCTGTGTGCACTTGTTTGCTAATTTCTAAGTATAATATTTTATAATTTGAACATGCTTCAAGATGAAAAACTTTCTTTCCTTTCTTCCCAAGCCTACTAATATTGGTATGAGGTTGATATAATAACAAATGCTCTGTTTTTAACCATTTCCACATTATGAAAGAGCCACTTTCCCCCTCAAGGTAAATATGAATAGCTTTTAGTTGTTTTTGCCAAAAGAGGTAGAAATTGATTCCAGTAGACATGTTTCCTGTGAATCATAAAGGTTTTGAATAATGTTGTATATTAATGTATTAGTCCCAGTATATTATCCATGAACCAGAGAACTTCAGTGAAGGCACTGCAAATTAATCTTTATTTCCCTCATGATTTTCATTTTCAGGACTTTCTAATCTTTGCCCTGTATGTATACATGATATTTGAAACTCATTCTGCCTGAAAATCAACCCAAACTATAACAAAACAAAATAAAATGCAGCGCACACGCACATAAACCTTTGCTTTTTTAAAGATACTAGAATTATTGAATTACTGGAAAAGTTTATAAATGTTCAGTAATTTTATTTCCCATTCTATACTCATCTCTCTCCAATCCAATCTAATAAGAGTTTGCATGAGGATCGGATAACAGGAAGTACTGGTAAGCAGATTGCCTTTCTCCTTTCCTTTTAATATGAACCATCTGAAATCAGCCCAGTGCAAGAATCTCAACATCAAACATGTGTGAGCCAAGTGAACACATCTGTTTAAGTGTTCCAGATACGAAGTGGATCTGGATGGCTGCACCTGATGTTTGAGCCTTATAGAGCAAGTGGTCAGTTTCCCAAGGATGTGCACAGACAATCTTATTCTACTGAAGAAATTCTGCTTTCTTATTCACAATAACCCTGACAGAGCAGGTACGCTTCCTGTTCTGAAACCCAGAGGAAGTATCTGGCTGATTGGATTTGTTGAGTGGCACCTTTTATTAAGTGGCAAAATTTTATCATATCACCTGCACATATTTTGAGTGCTGATTTAGCAACTATGTCTGAGGGAACTTAGATGGTCTCACCCATTCATCAGGAGTTAGAAGGGGGTAGAGACCTCTGGGTGAAGTAAACAGTAAGAGGCCTGGGAGGATGTTGGAGGTAGGAGTGAGGAGATTCAACAAAGTCTATTCCCAATGGCCTTTGATGCTGTTGTCAGAGAATATGGGTCCTGGACTAGTATGGGATTTCTCAAGCTGGGGCAAAGGTCACATTTAAGTTCTAGGCCATTATCTGGATATTTGGCAAATAACAGCAGCTCCAATGGTAACATGTTTTCCAACATAATCATGATATAGGCATAGTTGAAAGAGAAGTATTATATAAAAAAGAACAACCTTTTATTTCGTGGTTCAGATTCTTATGTTGTTATTGTGGAATTGCTCCATTTTATTCCTGTAATAATATTACTCATGGATTGTGCAGATCACTTTTATCTCTTCATTCACTCACTCTGTCACCAAACATTCACTAAATAACTACCATGCTGGCTCTGGGGCTGTAGATATGATTAGGTCATGGTCCATCAAGGAGTTGTGAGACTAGCTAGGGAGATAGTCAAGAGGATCATTAAGAGAACTTGGTGCTAAGGTGGAATGGGGTGGGAGGGGTAGAAAGGCACAGAGTGTCTATGGTGGCTGAGCAGGGCTAGTCTCTAATTCAGGGGGCAGAATTAGAGATTTCCTGACAGTACCTTTGGAGCTGGATCTTAAAGGAATGAACAGGAATAAAACCAAAGAAATGAATGAAAGTGGTAACCCAAGGATGGAGCAGAACACTGCAATCCAAGTCCTCACAGAATGCAAAGGGCAAGGATTCCAGTTGGAAGAGTAGGTATAACAGCAGTGAAAGAGAACCAGGGATGGGTCAGATTTGGGGAGGGCTTGTGAATGCAAGGGTACCAAGAGAAATGTCTGTTGAATTGTGGGGAGGTTGCACCTGCCATGGCAGGGTGGACATGGAGGTGGAATCCAGCTTAAATCAAGGAGCTTGAGTGGTCAAAAGAAAGGGAGGACATTCAGGGGACTCCTTATCAAAGCCCTGAAAACAACTGGCACACATCTGCCTTAAGTGAACTGTGTCCATGTTTTTATTGTCTAAAATGAAGACAAGCTTTTTAATGACTTATCTGGAGTGATGTAAGACACTGGTTAACAAAGGTAGGGTAAAACTGTCTCTGCACTACTTCAACCCCTGGAGCAGTCAAGTAGAAAGAATGCTATTGGCATCCAGACCAGCTCCTCATTTTATGAGGAAGCTGAAGGCCAGGAAAAGGGGGTTTTCAAAGGCCGTACTGCATAGATGATAGGTGGGTGGGTGGGTAGTTTGGTCAGTGGGTAGTTGGATAGATGGATGGATGGATGGATGGATGAATAGGTAGATAGAGAGATAGATATGGGTGGACAGATAGATACCCACACAAAACTGATTACACACACATGTACAGAACTGAGAGGGATGGTTACAGGAAAATCACAGAATGGAGCAGGTGGCTCAAGAGACAGGAGTGAGAGTTACAGTTAGAAAGCTGAGAGTGTAGAGACAGCCACCGTGGTGGATTATTTCCACTTGCCTTGCTACAATAAACATTATGTACAATTTTTTGTGTGAGCATATATTTTCATTTCTCTTGGGTAGATGTCTGAGGGGTAGAATTGTTAAGTATATGTTTCCTCTTTTATGAAACTGCCATACTGTTTTCCATACCTTTTTATATTCCTACCAGTAGCATGTGAGGGTTCCAAATTCTGTACTTCCTCACCAACACTTATTATTATCATCTATCTTTTTGATTATAGCCATCCTGGTGGATGTGAAGATCTGTCTCATCATCGTCATCTTTATTTCTCTGATGGCTAATAATGTTGAGAATCTTTTCATGTGCTAATTGTTCATTTGTGTATTTCCTTTTGGAGAAAAGTCTGTTCAAATCCTTTGCCCATTTTTAATTTCTTTCTCTTCTTTTAAATTTGGCCTGGGCAGGATGCTGATATGCTAACCGGTGATGAGCAAGTATGGAAGGAAGTTCAAGAATCCTTGAAAAAAATTGAAGAACTGAAGGCACATTGGCGTATCCTTTCATCTATGGATTGCTTTGTACTAATGGGACTGTGTCCTTATTGAAGGGAGCCTGTTGTTAATGAAGCCAAGTCTAGGACTTGACCTCTCCAGTGAACTTCATTCTGTTTCATAGTCACAGGCTGTATCCCTGACACTAGCCAACAATTTTGGCAATGGCTGGGGAAGTCTGGCCAGAGCAGCATGAAAATCTCACTACCTCTAGATAATTATCAAAAATCCATGGCTTAGTAATAGGATAGTCAGCAGTAATCTCTTTACATGTAAAAGGTAACAAATTTTCCTTTCTCCCTTCCTCCCATGAGCCCTATCTCTAGGAAAGAATCGTTTAGATACCTTCTTAATATTAGTGACCCTTAGATTTAGATGCCTCACCTTAAATCAGCCATGACTATGATAGCAATGGGAGTGGCTGAACAATAAATCTTGGCACAAATAGTAAGAATCATGAGTGGCTCACACTTCAGATCATTTATGATGAGGGTAATCTGGGAAGGTGCTACAGATAGTCTTCTGTATGAAAGGTGTCCTGAATCAGGGACAGGATCTGAATAAAAAGAGGCTGAGAGTGAGGTCACTTCCAGAAGAGGAATCTACTTGAGCAAAAATGTGACAAAGGGAAATCACAAGGTAGGAAGAAAGAGATCAAAGTAGATAAAAAAGATTGTGTAAAGTCATCAGCTGCCTTGGGCAAATGATATTCCAGGCACTAAGAAAATCTGCAAAGGGGTTTCTAGTCTATAGACAATGTTCCTTAAAGAATTGTAAAGGACAGGAGAGGTAATTAGAGAAATATTCCTGTTGTAATAGTGATAAGTAATGGCTGAAATCTATTGCCCAGTGAGATTTTTTATTTTAGCAGTTTTAGTGAAGAATCTAGAACTGGTTACTAATGGAGTGAGGAGGAAGCTGTAATCACCAAGATGCTTTGTGGGTTCACTAAGTAAGCAAGTGAGCCTGAAGAGGCTGACTTTCTTTGGTAAAATTTGTATCTTGCATTCTAAAAGGGATTTGAAAAAATGTAGTCAAGGACTTTATGCTAGATGCTAACATAACATCTATGTCATGGTGTCATTCTAAGTGAGCCACTGTACTGAGATGATGCTACAGTAATTGGCTTACTACCACTCTGAACACCCTGTTTCCATCTCAGCCCTCTTCTACTTTGATTGTGTATCATGAATGAAGATACAGAGCACAGACTCATCAAATCTGCAAAATGGTATATGATGAGGGAGGCAAAGGTGTGATGATAAACCAAGAACTCAACCGATTCCTAACAATTTGAGTTTAAAATGATGAAACTCAACAGTAGTGTATATAAAATCTTCTATTTGGGTTAAAAGGTTCAAATGTATAAATATGGATAAAGATTAGCAACAAAACTCATGAAAGAATTCTAAGGTCTTAATAAGCAGTAGAATTCAATAAAGTCTGAGAGTATGGTGTAACTCCTGAACGACTACTGTGACCTTGGGCTACATTAATAGAAATAAAAAATGAGAAAGGTAATAGTACCAGTATGATTATATCTGGAATTTTCTATTCAGTTTGGGGTAGGACATATTAAGAGATATAAAAAAAAAAAATGAAGTTTTTGAGGACTGGGCCCAGGATCAAAGTGGAACTTAAAAGTCTGTATACACAGGATAGGAAATAGCAGGAAAACAGCTGAATCTGGGAACAAAAGGGCCATTCTTGGCCTCAAAGAGCCATTCCTCAGAGGAATATACTGACTCTACATGGATGGTGCCTTGCAACAGAATAAGGGCCCATGTGTGACCTAGCTGCCGTTCAGTCTTCATTGGACAAGGCTTTCCTGAAACCTGACTGAGGCCCAGGTGCATCAGCAGTTGTGGCCCACCTCGTGGTCCAGGCAGGATAAGGAGATCCAACCCTGCACTCACAACTTTCAGACACAGTGGAATAGTAGATATATAAATTAATGTATATTTTTGTAAAATATATATTTGCATCAAAGGCACAGTATCAACTTTAAGAGGTAGAGAAGCTTTCACAGAGGAGGTGACGACTGGATTGTGCATGTGTGTTCATGTGTGGTGGGGCAGGGGAGTCCCTTGGGAGCTCACCAGGCCAAGGCAATGCAGGAGAGACCACCAGAGAGTAGTCTGTGCGGACACACAGAATGTGAGGTAGCGGGGTCAGGGAATTCCCAGGTGATCGGTGTGGAGGAGAGGGGTACATGGCATGGCAAGAAGGCTAGAGGGGGCACTGGGCGGAATTGAAGTAGAAGAGTAATATGTGTAGGTGAGAAAAAGCCCTGTGATCCAGCAGTCCTTGAGTTGCAAGCAGTGGATTAATTCCCAAGTGGATTGACTTTTCTCCCCTTTTTCTTTCCCCCTAGTCTTCTTGTGGCCATTTAAAAATATTCAGAAAAAAGAGTATCTGTTCTGTCCATTGTACAGTCCCTTCTCTTTGCATGGGCTATCGGCCTGCTTAGGTCTAAAGCTCATCTCCTCACTGGAATAAAATGACATGTAGTAAACACCAAACGAATGCCAGTGACTAAATTTTTGAGCAAATACATGTCAGCATTAGCTTGGGGGAAAAGCCTCTTAAAATGATTCCAATTTTTTTGCTCACTGGGGCGTTTTACAGAAAGGTTTGCCTTGTTTGCCAAGAGATAGTTGCCAGTGTTGTGAAGGAAAATTGGCATGCAGTCCCTTCCAGCTTGCTGGGGGATAAAGCGGATTCCTATTCCTATTAGTGGCTGCAGAACATCACATCTGGTTTTTACTTCTAAGGCTTGTCACCTCAAACATCTTGAAAATGAGTTGGAGCATATGTGAGTGAACAGGCGAATACTAATGGAGGTCAAATAAGCCAATGTTAAAATAAGGCACAAAGTCTTGCTACGGAAGCATCTAGCATTGTGTAAGAGACGGTCATTCCTCCTGACAGTTCATCAGCTATCTAATCCTAGAATGAAAAGCCACAGAGGTTAGCCTGGCAGTCTGTTACAAGATCAGTGTGTCGCCTGAGATACCGCTTTCCCCAGCCTCTGGGGATACAGCCAGCAAACTGTAAAGGTACATGGCAGATAATACCGAGGAAAGTCACCAAGTCACTCTTCTTCAATAAATGTCCATCTTCTGAGAACAGAGTCACCTTCTCAGAGCAGGACTCATCCTAAAGGTATAGAGTGTGATGCACACGAAATATGGTCTAAAGGCTCTCAGCCGTGCACTGTGGTGCTTGAACTTCTAACCAAGGAAGTCAAGCCTTCGGGGTAAAGTATTATGCCTCCAGAACCCCCTCCCCCCACTGAGAAAATGATCCTCTAATGAAGATTAATAAAGATGTTAATCCCCGCATATACAAGTAGCTTGGTTGGTTTAACATATGTGTTTGGTAATGTTTTGGAAAGCAGTGTTCTAAGAGTGTGGATACTAATAGAGGTAGAATTGCTGGAGTAGAAACGAGGGAGAGACTAGGGACACTGTGGCATGCAAAGGACTGTCTGCTCAGGGTGGGCTTGCTGCATCGGAACCTCAGTGGGAAGGGCTTTGGGTTGGGGAGGGCTAAGAGGGGAGAGTGGAGCAGAGACCACTTGGTGGCCTGGATGGTGTGAGGGTGTAGGGTGTCGATGGAAAGGGGAATTTTATCAACTTCCATCCACTGGGGCAGTTTCGCTAAGCCTTGTGACACTCGGAGATCACGATGCAGCCAGGGGAGGAAGGCACACAAATTTGTGTGGTGTGTGTTTTGTGTATGCCACTGAATGCTTGCCCACTGCGTTTCTGGCAGCCAGAATTCCTTCTGGTTTGTGATAGAACATAGAAAGGAATTTTAAAAATTTACATATGCATCATTACATTCTTACTTGGACATTAGACATTTTTATTTCTATCCTATCTAAAAGCGCTTTGATGACTTCCTTAGACCTCAAATCTGACAAATGGCACAACTAACTTAGATCTAAATTCATTTTTAACTATAGTCGGAGGCTATTCCATTTCTGCTGTATCTGAAATCCTCAAAACTCTTCATCCCAGTGGAATTCCAAGGGAGATGAATTTGGAGCTGCACAGCTTGAAGGTGGGGGCTAGGGTGTGTGGTTAGGAGAAGGATACGGCCGACCCAGAGTTCCCTCAGCCTCCTGTGCCCCCAACACAGCCACAGGGGAAGACACTGAAGTCCCCAGGTGCCTGCTTGCGCAATACACTGTGTCCCCAACCTCTGACTGCCTCTGTAAGAGGATAGGTGCACGGGTGCACTGGGGAAGGAAACTCTATGGGGACTACACCTGAGGGGGTGGAAGGAAGCAAATATTGTTTAAAAATGAACAATGATGTAAAAAATAAAAAAAATATATTAAAAAAAGAAAAAAAAAGAGGATAGGGAAGAGCAGTTTTAAAAAAATGAGGTCACACGAGGCCCCATGACAATCAAAAGTCAAAAGTGGACGGGGGGTCTTCTCCCTTTGCTTTGTTTGAAAGTATCCTTTCCCTCACCCTGAAAATCATGCACACAAGTTATATTCTTAATATCATCTTTTATTTGGGGAATTTAATAATACCTTTATTTGATGACATACAACTTTGGGTCACTTTTGCTTCAAAATCCAAAAACACATTTGAGAGCCAGTGGACATGCATGCTTTTACATTGCTTTCCCCAGGGTGTACCTGTGGGTAGTGTATTTGGATTCCAAAAGGCAGAAAGAGAAACAAGGGCCTCCTTTTAAAAAGCAATCTCTATAAAGCTTCTTTAACTTTGAATCAGTATTGAAATAGAAGTTAAGAGTAAATAATTTTAAACTGAACTAAATTACTCAAGTTTATTTTAATAAACAGCTGCATTCACTTTGTGACAAGGTTTAAAGATGATACATACTGGAGTATAAAAAAAAAAAAGGTTCTTTGGAAATCCTAATCTCCCCAAACACAGGCTTGGTTAGAAGATGGTTTGTTGATGTAAACAGAATTTACTTCTCTGAGATGCCACTTATATGTTTTTGTTTCTCAAGTATGTTTTCAGGCAGCTCATCTGTGTAAAATAATGGGTGCTTCCTTCCCTCCTGCGCCTGGGAGCTCTTCAGCCTTTTAGTGAATCTCATTTTACTTTTGTTTTTTCTCTGTAAAGACAATACATCCTTAACTAAGGTTAATAACAGAGTGGGAACAGGTTCTGGCCATGTGCCAGGCGATCATAAGCAGCAACTCTGAACGGCTTCCCGATATCAACATTTACCAGCTGAAGGTGCTCGACTGCGCCATGGACGCCTGCATCAACCTCGGGCTGCTGGAGGAGGCCTTGTTCTATGGGGTTCGGACCATGGAGCCATACAGGTAAGTCCCAGGGAGAAGATGAAGCCATGGGGTGGCCTTGGTGTAGTCATTCAGAACCCTTTGTATTGAGTGTCCCACTGTTTCTCAATCTGTGTAAAGCCAAACGTTTTATTCGTTTACTCATCATTTATTTGTTCACTCTTCATGTGTGTCAGGCACTGTGTATATGTAGGCACAAATGAGAGGCTATTTCTACTTTTGGCCGGTGATTTTAATACCCTGTGTAGCCTGCAGTGGTGGAGGAGTTCTAGGGGCACTGGAAAGTGCACAGGATTCAGAACTGTGTCATCAGGAAGGCTGTGTCCTAGCCCGCTGATACCTGTGTGGGGCCCACAGTCTGGCTGATGGTAGAGACAGTCCCATCCATTTTTCAGGGTGTTATGTGTCCCAAGGACCTTCACTTGAATCATCAGACCTCAAAATCACCTCATGACCCCAGCAGGAGAGCAGAGAAAGTCTTACTCAAGCATGTGATTGAGTTAGAAGGAAGGACTGGTCATGAATGGTTTCTTGAGTGGCCCCGGCTCCCCCACAGCTGTGGGTGTTTTATTCCTAGATGTCCTTGAAACTCAGAGGGACAGTGTTGAAGTCTAGTGCTGAGACTTGGTGCGGTGGGTGTGAGACCCTGGTTTGAAGTTTGGAAGTCGAGACACATCAGCCCAAGGGAAAGAGGACAGAGACAGACATACCATCATCTGAAGTTGGACAGCCATCCCCAGCACAGAGCAAGGTCACTTACCACTGAGAAGACGCCTGGGCAGGGGCACCATTCTGGGCAGATCATGAAATTTTTAGCTTTGAAAAACTTTGCAAACATGATGTCAGTCCTAAAGGGCTGAGCAGAGGAAGAATCCAGGTGTAGGCCTATGTGAAATAGGATGACAGGCAGGAGAGTGGTTCTCAGTGAAAGAGAGGGAGACAGAGCTCAGGGTGCTACTGTCTGTCTCCACTTATGCAAGATACTCAGGAAACCCAAGGGGAAGTTACCAGGATCGACATGGGTCTAGGTTCTAGGATCAGTTCAGGCAAAGGCAGGAAGCTGGCTTTGAAGTGCTTAGTCAGGAAACCAGACCTGGGCCAGGAGTGTGGGACAGGCAGGGAGAAACCTGAAGATGGCAAAGACCCTGCCAGCCAGGTGGATGCCAGAGGACCGTAGGCCAGCCTTGGCATCAGGGTGACCCCAAGGGTGTTTCCAGAACTTTTGTAGGTGATTTCTCCAACTGCCTTGTGGTTGAACAACTTTGGAATCCAGACTGTGAGTCAGCTTTAATCAAACTTATGAGAGATTGCCTTGAGGGCTGAGACTAGACTTTCCCATAGTGTGCAATATCTAGTCAGTATGATGAATGTTGTGGGTTCTCTCTCAGAAAATAGGAATCAAACATGGAGAGATAAGACTGCATCTTTGAACCTCAGTGTTGCAATGAGTGTAGGATCAGGGGTGGTTGGTGTTAACTTCTCTGAACACCAGGACTTGCTCCTAGGAAACCAAACTGCAGACTGCTGAGTGAGTGGATGGATGCCAGCCAGGAGATGTAGACTGAGAAACTCCTTCTTCCCCCAGGACCCTAGCAGCCACTGAACCTACTTGCTGTCTAGCTCTGGGCATGCACCTGCCCCGCTTGCCCATCTTCTCCTTCCTTCGGGTTGGTCTGCAGACCACCCTGAGCACAGAAACCTTGCACTGGTCCAGCATTGCATCCCGAAGGCCACACCCTCCCAGGTGCTTAATCTATCTATCTATATATATGTGTGTGTGTGTGTGTGTGTGTGTATAAAGGATTTATTTTTTTATGCATACAAGAACTGGGGTACAGGCCAGAAGTGCAGGGGACGGGGGTGAGAGGATTCACTAGAGACAGAGTGGGAAACAGAACAGGCAGATTTACTGAAATACACTGTTGAGGAGAGAAGCAGGTGAGTCAGGAGAGGTCTGCTGCACCATGTGGGTAGCTCCCTGGCCGGCTGGGGATGGAACTCATGCTGCAGAAGCTGCAGGTAGCTTCACAGTGCTGTGCTTAATCCCTTGCGCCTCCCAGGGAGGCCCTCTGCATTATATTTTTGTGTCCACTTTTCCCCACTTCTACCAAGTCTTCTCTGAAGGACTTACTTTCTACCTCTTAATTGACTGGCCGTTTCACTGACTTAAGCTTGAATCAAAGAGACCTTTCTTGTCACTGAGACCAAGTCCACCAGGATATACTCCATATTGTTTGGAGTGTATATGCTGTATTTTTCCGGATGTTTGGCAGATCATAATCTCTCTGTAAATGTATACTCTGTTCTCGCACTGGGTGACAAATTTTCAAGCCTCCCTCAGTTTCTCCTCCCTGGAGCTTGTGAAGAAGTTGTTCTGTGGTGTTCTGTATTTCAGGAAATCTAATCTGCCTTGTTCCACTTCAGATGAGATGTGAACCATTTGTTTTAAAAGGTGTAGTAGGGGCTCCCTGGTGGCACAAGGGGTTAAGCACAGCACTGTGTAGCTGTCTGCAGCCTCTGCAGTACGAGATCGATCCCTGGCTGGCCAGGGAGCTACCCACATGGCGCAGCAGACCTCTTGTGTCTCACCCGCTGCTCCCCTCAGCAGCGTATTTCAGTCAATTTGCCTGTTCTGTTCCCCACTCTGTCTCTGGTGAATCCTCTCACCCCCCGCACCTCTGGCCTGTACCCCAGCTCTTGAATGCATAAATAAATAAATCTTTTTTTTAAAAAAAAAAAGGTGTAGTAGAAGAAAGGGTTCTAAATAATGCAGAACTAACAAAGTTAAGAAAAATGAGAGGGGTAGGTGTTAGCAAACCCTGTTGCTTTTCCTTTTAGGTCATGCAGAAGTGAAAATTGGCAACAAGTGGGTCAGATGTCCCCCACAAAGCCTGTAACAGTCTTAGAATGTGAGGGAACCTGGAAGCTGGTGGTGATGTGCAGCCCTCAAGTGCACCTGAGGGAATTCACACTCTGGCCCATCCGTCATCTACACGGTGGTCCCTGCACAAGCTCTGGGTGGGCTTGTTGTTCGCCTTTAGCCAAGGACACAGTAGTGAGAAGTGACTGGATCACTGTCTGCCTTTACAGTTTTACGATGTTAATATACTGTTTGCAATAACTAGATTGAGGTCAAGTCTCCAGTGATGATTTTATCATTCCTGACCTTGGCTTAATTTTAACTGCAGACCTTAGAGGAGAAAGTATCCATATTCCATTTTCATCCAAACCATTATGTTGCCCTGAGCTCCCTTATTGCTACTCTGTCAATAGAAGTTCTTTTTATGATGTACCACAAATTAAGTTCTTTATGTTTCATAAAGCAAGTTGGAATTAATTCCCATACAACAAAATATATAATCTTTAGCTTAGCATATAATGTTTCTTATGAGAGTGTCAGTGTATATATGTGTAATTATTTGTATCATCATCTGCTCCTTAGTATTATCAACATTAAACAGAGTGAAAGTAATTTAAAAAGATTTCACAAATTTTTTAAAAAAAATTCGTTTTGTCAGGTTTAGCCCTGAGATAAATTGGATGCCAAAACTTAGTTTGCCAGTTGGTAGTTCAGCATTTAGAAAGCATTTCCCCCTTGGAGACGGTGTTGGAGATTATGGTGAGGTCCCCAAACTAGCCCTTAAAAGTTTGCTCAGCCCCTTACATCACCAAATTATGCTGTAAAATTGGGGAGGGGAGGCCAAGGAGAAAGAAATAAAAAAAATAAACATAATTTTAAAATTCAGATTTAAGTTATGTTGAATACCAATTAAACTTGATTTTTCTTTAGGCTCTAGGGAATAATATGGACAGACAGAGGCTTTCAAAGGCTTTGAGGGGACTGATAAATATTTTGTTGTCATAATTTTGTTATGAGAACAGAATACCTTCTAGGAAAGGACATTTTCAAAGTTAAAAGTCACTCTCACTTTTCAGATTCTTTGTCTCAATCCCTATCAGTCCCTACATAATCATTCTAAATTTCTTTTCTGAAATTATTCCAGAAGCACTGATCTGAGCATATTCTAAAGCTGCTCAAGACTCAATCTTAGCATGAAGGAGGGGAGGGAATTAAAAGTAAATAAATAATCCTAATTTACCAGAAACACTCAAAAAACATGAACAGGGGTTCCATTCTTCCTACTCTTTCATATTTGTTTAAAGCCTCCTGTCTTTTTTACTTTCTGTTTTCAATTATTTTCACACCCTTGAAGACTCCTTTTTCCCCTCACTCTTAACTCTTTCTGGAACCCTCAAAACTCCACATGGTACTTTCACTTTTTCCTCCTTTCCTTTCTTTCTGTCTTTCTCCTTCTTCTCAGGCGAAGCCCAGTCCCAATCTTGATCTGTTAGAAATGCCTAGTAAGGTAGTGGTTGGGGAAGGGGAGGATAAGGAGAAGAGCAAGGGGAGGCTAAGAATTCTCCTGAGTGGACAGAAAGAAGACAAAAGTGGGAACACTCTCTATCCCATTCTGTAACTTGCTTTTTTCACTTTACAACAGCATGCACGTCTACACAGACCATCTCTTGGATGTGTTCCTAATTTTTTCAAAAAAGATACATTGCATTTTTTTTTAAAGATACTTGTTTATTTATGCATACAAGAGCTGGGGTATAGGCCAGAGGTGCAGGGAGTGAGAGGATTCACCAGAGACAGAGTGGGGAGCAGAACAGGCGGACTGACTGAAATACACTGCTGAGGGGAGCAGTGGGTGAGGCAGGAGAGGTCAGCTGCACCATAGGGGTCACCACCTTGGCCAGGGATTGAACTCATGCCGCAGTGGCTTCAGATAGCTTCATAGGTTACAATTTAACCCCCTGCGCCACCAGGGAGGCTCCCAGAAACATAGCATTTCATCTCATGAATACACTAGAATTTGTTCATCAGTCCCATTTATGTTTATTATGTCAAACAATGCTATTACTACCTTCCAAGTATTTGATCTTTGTGATGTGACCTTGTGATATAACTGAATTCATAAGGCAAATTCATATGATAAATCTCTAAAGGCTAACTTGCT